CAGGGTCCACCCAGAAGCAGGACCCTGTGGGGAGCCTTGGGCACCTCAGGGTGGGGGCATCCACAGCCCAAGCAAATGGCTGGTCACCTGAACTAGCCAAAACGGCCATGGCTGGCACGCACATCCCGCTGCTCTTTGGCATTTGGATGCTCCATTCAGCCTTAGCAGGTGCTTGTGTCCTCTCGGCAGGGAGAATCCCAAACCGCTGCTTTCAAAACACATCCTCGCTGTGAGGCTGTAGCAGAAGCCTTTCTGTTGTCTATGACAAATATCAGCAACTTTACTGTCTGGTACATCATCACCATCCTTGAGGAGAGACCGACTGACCTGGGCAGGGTCTCCCCACATCCAGGCACACCTTCCAGAGCCTATTTACTTACTGCACCTTAAACAGTCACTGAATGAGTCACCCTCGTCTCAAATCTGGGCTGAGCTCTCAAAGCTCTCAGTTTCTGGAGAAAGGGCAGCTCTGTGGGTTTTCTTACTATCACTGCTAGGTGCCACCGCATCTGTGCCAGCCCCTGGGCCAGAGGGTTTTGGGGTGTCCTGCTGTGCTGGGCCTCCCGAGGACCTCTGAGCAGGGGCACCTACTCTTTGAACTATCACCGAATTTAGAAATGAGTCAGAAGTCAAAGTTCTGGAAGTAATCGAGGCCACTGCATCTCTGGGCATGCAAAACTGCCACTGTTAAATTACAGTGTCAAAACAGAAAGTGTAGGCACCTCCCAGGAGCGGTGGCAGGGCTGCAGTGGCAGGAAGAGGGGAAGCTGGGCACCCGATCACAGCGTGCTGGGACTGGTCCAGTTCTGTGCTACTTCTTCAGTGCTGCTAGGATCTGATTTTTACTCTGTATTGGGCCAATCGCAGACACTGGAAAAATGGAGAGAGAGGAGAAAACAACCACAGAAAACAGTTTGAAGGCTGACAGAAATGTCTGATGGTGAGAGACTTAAAAGGTCTGTCTGGCTTAGTGAACAGCCCAAGTCATCTTACTGTATTTTACTAGAGGGACTTACTGAGTGCTTTAAATCACTGGCAAAAGACAAATAGCTGCAAGCTAAATCCAGACAAGTTAAAATAGACATAAGACACAGTTCAAAAGCAAACAATGACTCATTGCTAGTACAAATTACTAATGGCATTGGTGGATCCTCTACTATGACTAGTAGGATAGGACGGGGTGCCTTCTTCTGCAGATGGGCCAAAGGGTTCACACAGAAGTGCTTGGAGGAGGTTGCTTGACCGGAGCTGTGCAGGAGGCCAGGCCAGATGACACTGAGCTGCCTTCTCGTGTCAGCAACCTGCCGTTATTCACACCGCTGCACCAAATCCTGCAACACATCCATGCACCCAGCATCCAGTCAGAATTGTCAGGACGTGCCTGTTAGTTAACTGTTAAATATTGTCTGGAAAAAACAAACGCATGGGTAACTGCAATGCTTAGTAATAGTAAATCATATTCCTCAGCTCCTTTCCCTTGTAAAACACAGACCAGCTGTTCTTGGAAAACTGAATAGAAGCTCCAGTACTTTGTTGTTGTACTCTACTGCAGTACGATGTGTTACCAGCAGTAACCTTAAGTGACAGGTAAGAACTGCCTAATTAGCATCCTCTGGGCCATGCAAGCTTTGTCTCTTACTCTTGGCTGAGGGCATTAGAGAACATTAGACAGTATAAAGCTCTGGGCCTGGTACACATACTATTGAAACTCAAGATAAACATTTAAATCTTTTTTCAAATGGAGAGAAAAGTCCTGATCCTGTGCTCATGCTGTTCTGGATTTATGCCCACCAGCTATCAAACAGAAGACAAATGACAGTGCTGTTCTTTCAACCAGTTTAATGATTCTGGCAAAAGACCTGGCAGCAGACTCCAAAGATTTCATCTAGGCAAGGCAATGCCTATTCCAAGAGTGGAAATCTCCAACTGGAGAGCTGGCAAGCGCAAGTTGTGCTGGAGGCTTAAATCAATCATTTCTATTTTTCCCAATATGATCTAGCAAAATACAGAAATTGGCTCCTTCATCAATGGCCACAGGCCACTTTTCATGTTTAAGGTATTATTAGTGCCAAGGGCTACAGTGATACTTTGACTTCATGTAAAACAGCCAGTGTTAGAACCACCTGTTTAATCACTCCTTTACAGTAGCTCAACTTTGAAAACTGTCAACAAATGCCTTGTTGACACTGTCAACAAAGAGTCCAGGAGAGCACTGTATATTAGTGGTCCCCTTGGAGTCATTCCTCTGTGTTCATGCAAATCTCCTGCCACCACAATATATTTCTGATTCTGCTGCTGAACACCATCCCCTTCATCGTTACCTCGTGAACTGACACCAATTCCCCTGTCATCGATGACTGAGTCCATTACCAATCAAAATGCTGCTGCAGACTTACACTATTAAATGCACTTTCTCCCTCAAAGGCTTGGGCAAACTTTAGGGGCCTAACTGCAAAACTGGGATTTAGATCAAATAAGAAACTTATTCAGAAGTCACCTAACTCTTTATTTGGGGTTTGATCTGTTGTGTCTGGAAGTTCCTGAGGTGCCAGTAATTCCACTTCTGTGGATACCCAAAATTGCCCTTGATTACTCCAGTGGGAACCACAAAGTGAAGGGAACATAATCTAAGACTGCAGGTTTACAGAGCTTCCTTGTAGGGCAGTACTCTATAAACACTTCCCAGTTCATGGGAATCCCCCTGGCAGTACTACATCTTCTTATCAGAGAAAGCCTATGGTGTGTACCCACCACACATTCTAATTTTCCTGCAGGGAGGACCTGGCAAGAGCTCTGCATGGGAGTCAGTACATGCCAAAGAGGCATTTTTACAATGCTCAAGGCGTCCTGTTTAGCATGCTTCAAAAACATGTTTGTGTGCAGGCTAAGGGGCCAGATCAGCTACATGTGCTCTGAACAGATTTAACACATGACAAGAGGACAAGAACCCTTTCTAAATGGACATGATTTTTTAATATTATAGTGATGTATTTGCCAGTGCTGCCTCCTTGTATATTATAACTCAATGGTTACTTCAGCCAGGATGCTTGGAAGGTGCCTTTACACATCTCCCAGCTTCTAAAGATTGAAACATCTCCCATCTGCCAAGGGAATATCTTATTTCCTCTCTGTTTCTCTAGGCAGAGAATAGTCATCCTTCACTCCCAAATTGTTAAAAAAAAAAAAAAAAGCCAAACTAAAACCACATACAAAAATACATGGTATCACTATTTATTCACTGATGTCCTTAATTCTATCCCAGAACCCAGAAACACTGCAAACACAGAATTTCTCAAACTCCTGAGAATCCAGAGCGCTAAACATTTCTCTAGCTTTTGCTGTTGAAGTGGCCTCCAGTTGTAAATCTTCCAGCTTGGCCCTCCAATAATAATTATGGTAATTAGCCTCTATCTCCTTTGGGCTAGTTGCTAACACAGTCCAGCTGATTTCTCCAGAAGGAATAAACAAACAAATTTAAATACGAAAAAGGCCAAGCCTCAGAGGACAGTAACAAAAGGGCAAACTGAAAGACAGATCAGTCTAATCATCTGCACCACAGTGTCATCAGAGGCAACATTTTTCTCTGCAAGCAACCAACAGTCCTGCACAATGTGGGTTGGAAGGAGAGATCGCAAGGGGAGACCATTTTGAGGTCTGAAGACTTTTCAGTCCATCCTTCTAGCATTGTTTATGCACCTTATAGCAAACAATCACTGGAAAGAAAACAATCTGTCCTTAGAACAAGTTGTAGTCAGACATGTGTGTGGGCTTCTAGTTGACCTTAGGGCACTCCTGGTGCCACGAGTTGCCTATCTCTGCCCCACATGGAGCCACTCAACACTCACTATGCACAACACAGTGAGTTTGGCTCAGGGTTTTGCTTCAGGAGTCAAGCATTTAAACGTGCTTTGAGTTTAGCAAGATGCTTGCTGTATAGTGAAGCTCCTCAGGAGAGAGATAATGTAATGGTTCCCCCTAAAGACTAGAGATCTCCCTCTCCTCCTTTTCCCCTCCTTCCAACCAAATGCTCCAGTTAGCCTGGTAGGCTCAGCTCAGAGAGCTAACCCAGCAAGGAGAAAATAGATGTTTTCTGCAGGGTTAGTGATCTGAACTGTCTCACAGAGATCCACAGGCCATGCAGGACATCACAGCCAGGAAAAAGAGGATGAGACTTTTAGCAGCACTGAACCAGTCAACCATTCATCTCACCAGGTGCACGAAACCACATCTTCAAAGCACAGAATCTCAAGCCTCTACAATGTCCCACCTCTCTCCTTTGGTTTTAGGTGACCAGTGCCCTTTCACACAAACCATGAGGCCACCAAAAGCTGGACTGTAGCAAGGAGCAGGCAGCAAGCCTGCCAGGTGAATGCCAGGCCCCTACCAAGGGCAGAAATGCAAATCCAGTCCAACATTAATGTATTTTTTGCCAGCTGAAACCGTTTGGTAAATGCATCCTGATATTTTACAGCAAAAATTAAACTGCCTCACTCTACTCCAGAGCTCCCATTTCCAGGCCCGTGGCCAGTTAATACTTCATCTCTTACTGCAGCGTGACCAGCAGTGGAACAAGCGCTAAACGAGTCCTGCTGGTTCTGGTCTGTCAAAAATCCCAAGCTGGAGCCTGGGGGACCACGTGAGCTGCTGCCTGCCCACCACGCCTTCCCGTGGTTTGATTTCCTCAGATCCCGTGGAGGATCTCGTCAAGAAAGTTCAGTCTGCAGGTGCAAGTTTTGCAGCTTATATCTGGCCCACATTTTTGATGTCAGGAAAAACATTGCAAGAAAATAACTCATCATTAAAGAGAAAGGCTCCAGAGACTTTTTTGTATTCCAGTGAAAAGACTTTTCTTTTAGCAGGCATTTGTCTGTGATGTTTGCAACCTAAGTATCACAAGCAGAATCTGAAAATGGCATTGATTAAAAACTGATTCTTGAAACAAATCATGTCTTTTTCTTGGCAGAGCAGTAATGAATTCTCATCACTGAGTTTTTCCGATCTTGTAATACATTAATTAGTTGAAACGTCCTCACATCTCAGAAATCATGTCAAATCACAACTTTTAATTGCACTTAATTCCTACCAGTGTTTTGCTCCATAAATTAATCTTAATTACATTCAAGTTTAAGGAAAACATTTTAACCCTTATAATTTTTATATTAACCCACAGGAAGAAAAAAAGTGTTGTTCAAAAAGAAATGCAGTAGTTTAAAATAAATAACTTTTGCCATGGATTTTTACATATGATTTTTTTTCTTTAAAGAGAAAATCCTACACCTGGTAACCCTTATTACCTCCTCCAGCTCTCCTGAGTCATGGAAACAGATTTCAGGAAGATGCCCAAGGCCAATTATTTAAAAAAGAAACAAAACCAAATCCTTTCACCCATTTGTTTCTCAGGTCACAGAATGAAAACCTGTAGGCCTCCTATTTCCATATTTAGCACACATACTCACTTGAGACTTAGAAAGCAGCTTAAATTTGACTTGCTAAAGAAAGGTAGAGGCATGCCCTTACTCCCTGGAGAAAGTATACAAAAAGTATGTCTTTTTTTTATTTCAAGCTTTAGAAACTTGAACTCAAGCTGTAAGAGGGGAAAGGAAGGCCACAGCGAGGCAGCTGGTACAAGTAAGGTGCAGACACAAAGTCTTGTCCTGTGCCAGCTGGAAGAGATCCATGTTGGAAAACAGCTTCATAAGCTCCCCCTGCACCCTGGCTCCCTGGACACTGCTGCATAGGAAAAACTGCAGCCCTGTGTGTGCTTTGTAGGGTTTGAAATGAAACTGCCTTATGGATCTTCAGCTGTACCTATTTTAAAATGAAATAAACAATTATTTGGGAAAAAAAAAAAAGAGACCTAATTTCCTCATATCCCACTGAAACAAAATATACACAGCTTATGGCCCTTATCCATTACTGCAGATTAATTCAAACCTAAAACAAGTGTCTTGTCCAAGTTGTGAACATTTTCCAAGAGCACTTTCGCCTGTTTCTGCAGAGGAGGTGTCTGACACCAATTGTGCTGGCAGAGGTAGATCGGTGCTACCAGGCAGGGGTAAGTGGGCCCCTAATGAATGCCCAGAAGAACCTTTCTTGCCAGAAGGCAGGAACTGAGGGGCACCGAGACCTCCCAGACCTGAACGCAGAGCCTGTACTGCCATGCTTCCTATCACTGCTGGCTCTTCAAAGCAGTGTGGGGACACTACCATGTAATGAAGGAAAACTGTACTGTTAGCATGACATTGTGATTCTGTTTTTTACAGCCTTTCCTCATTGAGGATTACAAGTGGTTTAGGAAGGAGGCAGGAGTAGCCCTACCTTTCTTTTTTGGGAGTATTTTTCCAAGACGCATCAAGGGAGGGATCTTGGTTATCCCATTCCTGCTGTTGAACTTTGTTCTTTTTTCATTAAAACCTTGTTTTCCTTAAAACAGAGGCTAAACCTCAGGCTAGACTACACTAACAGATAGTATATCCCAGCCCAGTCCAGCCCAGTGCACAGGACTCTCCTAGGAGGATGTAAATTGTCAAGCATAGTTCCATATCTCTGCCTTGGTTGGCCACCTCAAATGTGTGCACGTACCTATGTTTATGGCAAGCGCTCTCTTCCTTCCCCCTCCTCACACAGCTGTTTATTTCTTTGGAAGATAAGAGAATTAATCTGATGGCAGAAGATATTCAGGATTTTCCCTCTACACAAAATATAAAATAATTTGTGTACATGTATTTATGTATACTGTATACACGCCCACAGTTTTGACTCCTGAACAGGAAAGATCAGATTTTTAAAGGGATTGTACATATAGAAGAATACTTTGAAGTCACTTATGAAAATTATTCTCACTTCCCACCTTTGTCTTTAAGCTTCTACACAGATCTGAGGGGTTTCAAAGGGGTATTTTTATAATCCTGTTCTGTGCCTATTTGCATTTCAAGGCAATTAAGTCTCTAAAAATATCCCCAAGAGGCATTGATACTAGGACAATGTTCCATTTCATTAATGGTTATTTAGTTTTTCTTAAGGCTTCCTTTATGTTCAGAATACATTTGGGACAACCATGGGATAAATTAAGTAGGATTAAATAATACTTTGACTCATCAGCATACAGGACTTCAACATATACTTGAACATGTCCAACAAAAAGGCACTGCTGATCCTAGTTCCAGTGGTGTTCCTCCTGCTAATTGGCAAGTAAGGTGCTTTCTTCTTTCAGCTTTGACTTTTCACCGAGTCGTCCTCATTATTCAAAGTGCCATAGCATGAACTGTGAGAATCTGGTTGTATTTTGCCTGTCAGTTTTTGTCCTAAGGAAATGGGGTGAGAGAAGGGAAAAACAACAATTCTGTGAAGAATTTTAATAAAACAAATCCCCCACCAATCCATCATTTAAACATTCTTTGCTCCAGTAATCATTGTTTTCATTTGACTGGTTGTAACAATAGCTTGGAAAAACTCAGAAAAATTCTTTGAAAAATCTGTTGGGAACAGGAATAGAAAGTAAGGGAACAGTATATTTATTAAATATGACTACAGCACATTTGTGACTCAACTCTCCTAGGTCATCCCATTATCTGATATCTCATTTTTAAACAGAGACAGAAAAAAAGCCCTACTTACCAGGAATATGTCCACAGTCAATAAAAGGAATCTGTAAATGCTCCTCTTTTTTATTTCTTGCAATTATAAATACACCAAGGAAAGATAGGAGACACCTGCAAAATAACAGTGGCATAGTATCATTAGAAACAGTTCACTGCATCTGAGATGAGAATTTCTTTCCGTATTTCTTTTTCAAGGACTTCCAAACCCAAGCTGCTCAGCTTATAAAGAAACTTTTCTTTCTGGCAGCTCTATAAATTCATCTTGGGCTCCCTTTCAATCTAGTTTTTGCCCCATGAAGCTTTATTATCAGTTCCAAAGGCTCTGCAGGCAAAATTACACTTTCAGCAGTATATACCTAATCAAATGCCTGTGAGTGTGAGACCACAACATTTGAATCCCTGAGCAAACCTTCACAGAGCATCTAAGCTAGAATTCTAGCATTTGCAATTTCATTAACAACTCAGTCTAGCTACAGACAATCAACATCTCTGTTGTTTTTCTCATTTGACTGTGTGTCTCAGGGGCAAGCTGTAAGCCAGAAGCAATGAAAAACTGCTATGCTTGGATAAATCTTTTATCCGCTCTGTGTTGAACACACAACCACTGATTCCTGCCTGCCAAATACATGGGTTGAATTTTCTCATCTCCATTTTTTGTCACTTTTCCTGCAGTCAGACAAGATAGCTGTTATGTGCACTTACTCCAGTCCAGCTGCAGAGGACAAAGACGTCTGTACCCATTAGCCCTGTTCATTTGACAGCACTGTGGCAAAACACCTCCAGCAGTTCCAGGAGATGCTTTAAACTATCTCATGCCCGTTATCAAGTAATTACCACCTGTCCCCACAGCTGTTATGGTACTGGTAGCCAGCAGAAGGTTTGTACTCTCACAACACCTAGGCCCTTCTTCAAATATTTATTTTTAACAGCTTCTTAGCACACTCTGAACTCTTCCGCAGGCATGCTGTGTCTTTCTTGGCACAGGAAAATGGGGGAGAGATATATAGTACTTCCTCATAGGCCAGCAACTCATATAATTGCCCATGCCCAGTGGCAGCAAAGACCAGCTGGACACGCAAGTAGAATGTAACATAGGAGGAGATTTCTAGCGGTTGTAAAAGCACCCCCTATAACATGATCTTTGTTGGAGAGCAGTGATTTCTCCTTCCTGCTGCAGGAACACATGCTGCTGTTTTTTCATTCCATCATGAGATTAGTAGTTCATAAGTGTCTCACATTTTTACATATTTGGATTCAAAACCAGGCCTCCAAACTCCCTAAGCACAGACATCAATCTTTCCTTTAATGTTTTTTTATCCTACTATAATGGCTATTCCATAAAACTTTAATAACAAGACGGGTTTCTTCTTACCGAGAAAAGAAGGGATTCCGCAAGGCAATGCTGTTTCAGTACAAAAGTTAGTGCAGATTTTCGGCCGATACACTTACCCGAACAGAAACATGAACACACTCAGCAAAGCTGCACTTTGGAATTCCCGATAAAATATGACCCCTGGAAAGTGACAGAAACAAGAATTACAGATCTTGACTGGCCTCCAAGTGATATGAATTACAGCTGGGAGGGTCAGGACCAGTGTCATGCTCAGAGCAAAAAAAATCCCAAATAAGGTATTAATACACATTGTGATGGGTTCACTTTATGTGCCCATATTCCATTACCTAGGCTTTCTCAAGATGCTGTATGGGACTGGAGAAGATTTAGTCCATCAGATTGGAGCATGTGCTGTGTTAGTAACCACACAGATGCAGGTATTTTTTGCATTGTCAGCAACAGTTTTTATGCAGGTCAAACTCAAGGTCTTACTCACAAAAAGAGTCATACCAGTATAGCTAACAGGTTCTTCATGGATTTAGTTAAGCCACTCCAACAGACCATGTGGACATCTTAACTCCGATTGGGAACAGGTTTTCCATAACTAGCTGTGTCCCTGATGTTTACACCAAGTTAAGGGCTCCAGCAGCCAAGTTTGCCAAATCTTTCTGGCTGAAGGGATCACTAGCTCTTTCTGGTCACCCCTCTTCCAGGAATTAGCACCTCTGCAGTGGAGGTGACAGAACCAGATGTGTATCTGGATCTCAGCTGCCCCAATTCACAGCTGAGTATATTAGCTTTAAACCACTGATGAGCATAGTTCTGCTTAGAAACACCAGAGTGTGAACCAGCACAGCTGAAGCATGATTGTATCTTCAAAGGCTGTAACTGGGGGTGGGGGAATCGTGAGACAAGGTACCTTCTATGAGCACCCCAGCAAGATTCAGCAGAGGTTGTTCTTCTAAGCCCTGCACTGGTTTAACTAACCTGGTGCAAATGCATGTGTATCCAGTCTCAAAGCTATTAAGCTGTTCCTGAATAGGTACTTTTAAGGAGGCACAAGGCCAAATTCCCCATATGGTCACAAGAACGCAACCCCCTTTTGGCACAAGTCTCCTCTCAGTCACAAAGTGTAGGTCTCTTCTAACACAGGTGCTGAGGCAATCTGTGTGTGAAGCTAACTCCCCTTCTCATTAATGGCAGCTCTGCATGAGAAACTCCTGCACTGCAATGACAGGAAAGCCCCCAGTGTGTGTTAAAATGAGTCATAAATGTTCTAACAACATGATCATTTTGGCTCATTGCTGATACAGCATCTTAGTCGTCCTCCCTGCTCATGTTCTTACGCTGCACACCATTTCCAAGATTTGCAGTCCCTCTTTAACAACACTGAGTTCAAAGTTCTCACCCAGAATAAAATGTTAAATGCTTAAAAAGTCTTTGGAGTCATTTTATTTCCTTCACTTAACCTAGAATTCCACCTTCTGAAACGGAATATACACTAACTACTATGAAACACAGCTGGTTGTCATTTGAGTAGTTTGCCAGGCTGTTAAAATTACTCTACCAGTTCGGATATGGAAAGGCTAGTGTGCACATGATAAACTCATTTACTGGATGTCAAGATGAGGCTAGGATAAATGCAGGTACTTCTAGTAAGCCATCAAGGCACAGTAAACCATACATATCAATTCTGGAAATGCTAGAATTTGTTTATTTTTATTTTGGTTCAAAAGTTGTGAACTTACTCATTTTTCAGAACTTAAACACCTGCCATTTAGGAAAAACTACTTTTTATGAAGACACACATGGATGGTTTGTGTTCCTGTTCACAGGCAGTGATTCTTAAAAAACTCATGTTTAGAAAATCATTCTGTAGAGGCAGAAGGCCAGAAACAAACCTGAAATGATGGCACTGGTGGTGAAGAACACAAAATTAATGGGCACAACTGCTGTCGCTTTGTACAGATACATTGCTTGATTCAAGAACCTGAAAGATAAGAGTTATTGCACCTCATGCCTGCAGGATGTTCATTGCACTTCAAGTCAGGTTAAGCCATTTTGTCAGTTTAACAATAAGTGTGATCATTTCTTACTACAATAGCAAGTAGCTCTGAACAGATGCATATGTGTATTGAATTTATTTTCTCGGTTTGACTATGCAAACTACAAACAAATAGGCAAAAGCAAGAAGGTTGGCATGGATTCTTCTGGCCACAGGCTGTCATTGGAGAGTCTTTTGAAGCATTGTTGGAAAAAATTTGTCTGCCACAGATAAAGGAGGAATGCTAGGGTATTACTGCTTATAGTCTGCATCGGTTCCTAGAAGGAGTGCTGCCTGTGAGCAGCCAGGGACAAATTGCTCTAATTTAAACAGGTTGTGTAAGGGTATATGTCCAGCACGGACATAAACATGCAAGTTCTCGTAGGAACTGTTTCACTTTGCTGAAGTCCACAGTGCTGCTACTGCTCAATCCAACCTGGCTAAAACACATTTGTATGTTTATCCATGCAATCATACCCCAGACACACTCTGTTCTGCTGGGAAAGTCCAGGAAGGTGGCTCCAAGCCTGTTCTCCTTTGGTTGGAAACTCTTTGCTGCGGTCCTCAGAATGGCAACACAAACCCTCACCAGAATCGTGAGCAAGAGCGTGCAGGGCCACAGAAGTGTACACTGCACACACACCTGCACGACCGGGACACTGGCCACAGAGCAGCCTGCACAGTATGCATCAGCGGATAAAAAGGCAAAGCAATTAACCCACTTGTACGGAGACCCCAGCTATCAACATGTACCCACAGGGTGATGAACCATGAGTGTGAACTCTTGGATGCACCAGCAGATACTTTGTTATGTGAATGGTTCATTCCAGACTGAAAGAGAAAAATCAGGAGGCTGCAGAGTGTATTCAAAACCTATAAAAAGAACCACACTTAAATGTTTCACTGGTACAATATATGTGCAGTAAAAATCCAAGCTTGGATCTGTTTTAGCCATTAAAGTAATTGCATGGTTATTTTAGCAACTGTTGAACAGTCTCCATGGTGCTTTAAAAATAAAGAAATCCTACATATCCACAGGATAGTCAGGATTTTGAAGTCATTGAAAACACCTCATTATTTTCTCCCATTTGCAACAAACTTGGTCACAGGGACTAAAACAGTGATACCAAGGCCCAGCATTGAATCCAGGAGGATGTTGCAGCACAAGCTGTTCTGAACTAACACAAGACAGTCAAATAAAATAAGAGAGGAAACAAATAAAATGGAAAATTTAGACTGACAGCACTGTCTCTGTTAGAAAATGTATCCAAGAGAGAAGAGAGAAAGAGACATGGAGCCCAGGGAACGAAATGGGCACATTTCACTTCTGTTTTAATTTTGACCCAACAAAAGAAAGAAAGAAAAAACCGGCAAGAAGGAGAGGTTAATTCAGCAGCTTCCTATTTACCAAGCTTTTATTTCCTATTTTAAATGCCCTGATCTGTTCTCCCAGAGAAGACAAGCTGGACGTAAATCACTCTATAATCTGTTACAGGGGAGTTCCTGAGTCAGCCATGGAGAGTCACTGCGTAATAACGCATGGACTTTCTGATTCCACATGGGAATGGTATGTTCTGCCATGAGAAAGCTGGGTTGGCTCTTCTACTGGAAAATAATCATGCAAGTAAACACTCAGACTCGCGCTAGAGCAGTCTAGATGAGATTACTGAATGATGCTATCAGCACCTGAAACAGAGGGCCCGGCATAGAGGGAATGGACTCTGTTCAGCTGCAAGCCGTATTTTACCATGTTGCCACCCCCAGAAATCTGCAAAGGCAGCATAAAACAATCACTTAACAGGCCAGAGGCCAGCAGGAAAAACTTGCATGTCTCCTCCACACTGAAAGTTAACTATTTCCTAAAAAGGTACATACAGAGGTACAGGGTAGCAAAGCTCAATATCCAGATTTAATAGAGTCAGGGAGAAAGCTGGGATAAAATCTCTTCTTTTGTCTGACTAGTGACATAAACTGGAGGAAAGAGATGCATAATAAGGGTAAACATGGCCATTTGATTATTCATCAATGAAGGTTTCTAAAAGCAACGCCCCAAAATTTACATAAACATAGATTTCATTTAATGAGTTCAAGACCTGAGCCAAAACTAGAAGTAAATTTGGGAAGACCTTGTATAAGGTGATAATGAGAGAAGGTAGCTTCTATAATAATAATCAATTATAAGCGGAGAAATAAAGCCTAAATAAACAATATAATCAGCTGTAGACAATTCATGCATCTGTCAAGGCTCTGCCAGGAATTTGTTGTCTTTAAGTGCAACTTGTATCTGTACTGAATAAAACTGACATATAAAATGTCAAATACAAAGGTTAGGTGATAAGTAGAATCTCACTTACTTGACTTGGAAAGCACAAGAAATTGCCATTAAAGCAATCATGATATAGAAAACAGGATAGGTTAGTTGCATTTTCCCCTTCACAGAAAGCGTTATCATGCTGGCCACAGCCTTTACAGCAATGACAGTCATGGATGCTGCAAGGGAAAGGTAGAGATTAGCAGGGCAGGATACACTGCAGTGACCTCAGAGCATCAGTGAGGGAGGGCAAGGTGCCAGGTCAGAGCCACAGGTCTGATCACCTAAAAAGACACTGAAGAAGGATTTGGGCACCTAAAACCAAGTATGTGATTTTATAAATGCCATTAAGCTACTGCCTAAACTCAGAGAGGCCTTAGCTCCGTATGTGTGCTTTGTGTTTTGATTTAAAGTTCTTGCAGCACTGAGGTCTTCAATCCTGCATCTACCTAAAGTTTCACCATTTTCAACGGGGTAGCTGAGATTAGAGTCAGATAAAATCTTGCAAGGTAGGACTCGTGTGCGTGAGCGAGAGGCTGAGCTCAAGGTGAGGAAAGAACTGTATCCATTTCCCAATGCTGGGAATATGCCCTAAACACTGGACTACCAGTTGGAGGTGGTACAACAGCCTCCACATCTTCCAGACATGCTTTGTTTAGCTCCAGCTGCTAATTTGGAGTCCATGTTGCATTATTCAGGAGAGGTCTGAGAGGTCTCATTATCTCTTCGAAGCAGCTGGGACACCTCCTAATATCAGCCTGCATGTGACACTGACAGCCTAAAATAACTCCTCACCCTTGGGATTTCTCTGCTGAGACAGGAGCTGGCCCAAGCTGGCCAAAGCTGATTGCTGGGATCACATTCTGAAGTACCTAACTCTCTCCACGGGTTATGTACAGAGAACAGACAACCAGCACAGGGTTCTGCATTTTGTTTCAGGGCCCAAGCTCTTAAGACCATTTATTGGATTTATCCCACAGAATAGAATATTTCTATAGTGTGTTTTCAATCCATGTAGTCACTGTCATTGTATCACCACAAACAAATCTCAGTCAGCAGGCAATGGTTTTAATATATGTCACCAGTTCAGAGAAGTCTTGTAATACACATCTTTTCTAAGAGGGGCTGACAGTTCAGCTAAGAGTTACTTCAGATTTTCGTTTGGAGTGCGCTCTTGGTGTGTTGAAGCTAACCCAAGTATGATTACTGCAAATAAAATGTAACAAATTAAAAAGAAACTAAAAATGATAAGAGGAGTCAGGGTGCAGAGGTGACCTTTGAAGAAAGGTAATTAATTGTCAGGAACACCACCCCCCAGCTGGGATCCAGTTCCACCCTCTTCCAGAGCTGAGGAGTGTTGGATTTCAGCGGTCTGATTCATCCTCCTGTAACTGCAAAATTCAGATTGGCAAGGAGAGCTGCACTGTGGAAAAAGTTCAGGCCAAGGGCTGAGAGAAAAGGTGGGGGAAGAAGAACAAATTCAGGTCTGTGGTTTTGATTGCAAGCATTTTTCTTATAGCAAGTCCAAAAGTTCAGGGGGAGTTTAAGAGTTGCATACATCTTGTGATGATCCCGTTCACCATCATGAAATGCACTGTTTTCATGACAACCTTTCAACCAAGTACTTCACTTCTTGCTCTGTAATGGAAATAGGTGGAGTGGTTTAACAAACACAGCAGTAAAACTCAGCAGAGGAGGTCAAATGCTGGCCTGCAGTGGTGCTAATGGTACGATAAAAAAGTCAAAAATTACACTCAAGCCTCAATAAGCAGCCTAAATAAAAATTGAGGTTTGCACTCTAACATGAGGGAGTTATTATTTTAAAAGAACACTTGCAGGTGAAAATTTTAAAGATTGCTGAAAAATTGTTTCTGATGGAAGGGCAGCTTCCATCCCTTGAAATTTTCAACAAACCAGAAAAGAAAGCACCAGCTTTTTAGTTGGTGGTTTTTTTTTTTGTTTGTTTGTTTGGTTTTTTTTTTTTTTTTTTTTTGTTTTTTTGGTTTTTTTTTTCTTTTGGAAAGTGGAATAGTCTTTTTAGTTAAAGTAACCCTGGAATAAGTTTCAAAACCTAGGAAATGGTTTTCCTATCTCAGATAGAACGACCTCCCCTAAGGCTAGTGTGACAAATGACGCCACTTTCCAGCTGTTAGGGCAGGAAACTCAGAAATCCCACTTTAATCTGAAATATTTTCCCCCAAAACGTATGATAACTCCCAGTATATACATGAGGTAAGATAATTCTCACCAAACGTACTTACAGAGTTGTACTAAGCAACACATTTGCAGATTTTACAATCATGTCTGTGTTTTCTTCGTAATGAAAGTAGCTCTCATATCCAGTGAAACACAAAGGCTGCCCTCTCTCTAAAGAAGCCTTTCTATATCCAGTTTACATCTGTACAAACCCTCCACCAGGAACATATCTGTTCAGATATGATTAAAGGCAAAAATCCCCTTCCACGAGCTGCCACCAAGACCCCAAGCCTCAGCTACCCGCCCTGCAGCCAGGGCCTGCCGAGAGCAGTGCACGTGTCAAACGGCTGGGAGCAAAACTGCTGGGCCCCTTCTCAGCTTCCCCATCACTTTGCTCAGCAGAAAGGTCAGAGACCAAGCAGAAAGCTCTAAGTGTAGCTTTGTGGGGTACTGTCAGGCACCAGGACAGCTGCAGGAACTGAAGCCAGCCACAGTTCTGGGTCTCCTGCTCAAAAGAAATGTCCATATTTCAGAAGTTCTCACGAACCAGGATTTGTTTGTTTGTGTCTTTTTTAATAGAGCAGAAATAATGACATGTTTTTCCTCAGACTGCATATGCTGACCAAAACCTCAGCAGCCTCCAGCTGAAATTGTATTTTTGGCTGATTGCAGCCTGACCACCAAGCTGCAGTTAGTGCCTGCTGGGGCATGGGTTTGCAGCCTTGCTCCTGTTCAGCAGCTCCACGCGACCCTTTGGCACTGGTGGCATCAGAGCTGGCAGGCTCCACAGCAAAATAAGCACACAGGGTTACACAGCCCAACGGGCTGGTTCTCCTGGAGCCATGTATTGACCTTGCTTGGGGCAGCCATCACGGCGAGTCTGCCCAAAACTGTACAGAAAAGTACAGAAGCCCATCTAGGGATCTTCAGGCTTCCAGTTATTCAACAAGGAGGCTGGACCCCCTCATCGGTCAGGAGTGTGCAGTGCTTCATGCTCCTTATGGCACAGTTGGAAGCCGCAGAGCAGCTCAGGCGAGCTCTGCCAAAGCTCCTAGGCTTAGGTAGGAACTGGGGGATGGCTGGTCTCACACTTCACTCCTCCAAATCAAGAGGAGTTGAACAGTTAGACCTAAGGCTTTTGGGGTTCTTCCATCTCTGCCTCATGCAGGGAGCATGGGAAATCCTTCAAGGCTTCTGCAGAGCTACAGATCCTAATATTCCTAGCGCTGGGAAACTTAAATGGGAAGACTGTCCTAAAAAGTTGATCTGGAAGTCTGAGTTTTTCAGCTGGGTAAGAAACCACTCAGGGATCTGAAGGCAGGCAGTTAATAAATCTGTAAGGGATTTTCACATTCAGTTAAATCCAAATTGTGTAACTGGAAAACTTTAGTGAAATTCTGTTTTATCAAACCACTCATAACCAGCTCCATTACAAATGTGCTTTGTAAGTCTTTGCAGACTGATACATGCGCCCACTGAAGTCAGTGAAAATACAGCCACTGACTTCAGTGGCACACCTCAAGCGCCTCACCTTTCACTATAACCAAAGAAATGTGGTCTCCCATCAGGGTTTCATGAAGAGGTGACAAAACAAGGACAGGAGAAGACACAGGGTGGTGACAGATTCTTAATATATGCCTGCAAGTGGCAAGCTTTAGAGATAAACCTCCTGACATTTTTCAACTGATTCAAGTTTAACTTTATTGAAAGATGCCTGATAAAATGATCTCCCTTGTTTCCCTGGGTATTGATTGTGGCAACATTAATCAGAAGACAAACTTCAGTGGCTGAGTTCTTGTTATGCTTCTGGAAAAGTGGTAAAGTATGAAATATTGCATATGCAAAAAGGCATAGATAATTGAAAACGAAGTTCCCATACAGTCACAGCATATCACTGCATTTGTTTATGGAGTGCTTACAAGGTCTTAAGCTGCTCTGTTTTAAAGAACTGACTTTCACAGCCAGCTTGCTCTCCAAAAGAAAGTTTCAAACAGTCCACTTTCCCAGGATCTAAAGCTAAAGTGTTATTTTAAAATTCAGAATACCTTCACACATAGCATATTAGTTTTGGGAAATCTGTAAAAAGAAATAGTCCCAGTAATAAGCATGGAAACTGTGTTTCATAATCAGCTTTTCTCTTCAAAAAGAGACCACAGTAAGAATCATGTGAAATGTTTCAGTGATTCTCCTTCAGCACACTGCTTTGAAATGGCCCTTATCTAAACTAGCTGCAGAGACTGAGTGACAAGGAATTATCAAGTAACAGACAGGAACATTGAAGTGAATAATATGTTCTTACCCAGTAGTGCTACCATCATTAATAAAACCACGATGTGTTTCACAGCCTTTCTTTTGTAAAAATAGAGGAGAATGCAGAATATTATAATTCCTAAGATCTGAAAATAAAAGGGAAGAAAGTTAGAGCTGTGAAACTATGTAATAAATGCTTCATTCAAAGTCTTTCAGATGTCACATTCATTTTCTCTGCTCTAACAGTTCAAAGAAGAATTACTTTATTAAGCATCTTCTGCTAAAAACGAACCTTATTGCCAGTTGACTGAACTTTCAAACAATTATCATTTATCTTTCCTATTATAGAAAAAGTTAAACTTTGAGCATTTATTATTTCTTTAGTTTTTCTTCTTGCACTTCTAGATATATTTTGTCACTGATAGCATCGAGAAAACCTTTCTAATGTGACAGTAAAGATACCCACATTTATTGGTACTAATTCTTACAGAAACTCTGTTTATAATTCCTATCAAGTAAAGCACTTACTTGGAGGAACAGCAGTCTCTCCTTCTAGCTATGGTATTCCTAGTGTCACTCTTTGTGACATGCAAGCTTATTTTTACTACCCTCTTTGCCCTTCTCCCCAGTCCTACTAAAAAAATCCCCCCAAACACTGTCTTCCTGTTAAAACTTTCTGCCATACGTCGTAAGGAGGAAAACATTTATTTCATGTGGCGGTTCTCCAGTCACAGGTACCTGTCAGGAGCTTACCTTGACAAGCTCAGTGACACGCTAGCAGACCACACTGCAGGACACCTGCAGCTGCTGAATCAGCTTTTCCTACACTGTGCATTGTCCAAACTTGCTCCTTCAATAACATCTGACAGCTAAATGACAGACAGTTAAATTTACTGACTTGCTGTTAACGTGTCTCTTTGCAGATTCCTTTTGTAATTCTTGCCTTTTGCCATCTCAGAAGTGTGGGTATTCTCCCTTCTACCCACGTTGCCCAAATACCCTTCTATGCCTAAAGAAAACAGCAAGTGCAAGAGCCAAAAACTTCTCTGAAGCCCAGAAGATTTACAAAACCAGGGATGATGGACCTCTGCACTGAGAGGTGCTCAGAAGCCTGGTAGCCTTAGAGGCAGCATGAAGGAAGAGAAACTTGTTTGTACATGTTGGAAAGGAATCAGATGGGTGAAATAAGAGAAAATAAGATTGTCATCATTACTGGATATGGTTATTGTCATTTTTTGACAACAAAACAGGCCATAGAAAAACCTCATATCTATTTCCTTGGTTTTGTCATCAGCACACTATTTTATGTTTTATAATGCCACTCCACTCTTAAACCAACAGTCACCATAAGACACCACTAGACTCAAAAATACCTGAGTGTTGCGCTCATGAAATTTTCAACAAAGTGACTGAACAGTTACTAGAGACAGTTATATAATGTAACATAGCCGATTTCTCATTTTGGAGAGTGACTGCAGCAGGAAAGCAGTCATCAGCTACGTTCAGTTACTAAATTTCTCTACCAAGCTGACACCTCCCCCAGTTTAGTAATGTTCAAAAATATGAATAGAACATAATTATGCTTTAATTCGTTTTTTATTTACCTTCATGCTGATCCCCTGTTCCCAAAGACAACTGAGAGACAATTGCATTTCAGGACATTAAAAACACAAATTTAGATTTTATACCACTGTTCTTTTAAAAATGTAAAATATTTATCACAAGATTAAAAAAAAAAAACAACCAAACAAACAAACCCCAAAACAAACAAACAAACAAAAAAAACCCAAACCAAACCAAACAAACAAACAAAAAAAAAACAAAACCAAAAAAAAAAACCCCAAACCCAAAGTGTTTTGTTTTATTTTGTTTTTTTTTGTAAAAAGTATTGGATATAATAAAGCATTTTTGTTGTTTTTTAAAAAAATACATTCCTGGACTAATCCTTATTTAATAATCTTTTCAATCTCTTGTGAAGTTCTGGTCTCTTCTCCCTCCAGAACAACATCCCTCCCCACCAGCCTTGAACCCAGAGGTGAAATTTGGGCCACCAGCTGGCAGGAAAGAGGCGTTTGCCTCAGTCTCACAGTAAGTAACTTGGCCAGCCTCCCCAGCTTTATTCAACAGTATAATACTGGGTATGTCTAAATCAGGAACCAAGGCAAAAGTCATATTGAGATCTGTAGACATGTGAGCTTGTCTTGGCCTCCCTGTGGAAAACTACAAGAGGGTTTTGAGGGAACTCGAGAGGAGAAGTAAAGGTAGCAGCTTCACTCTTCATGCCACTGGCAAACACATTTTAGGGCCAGAGGGGAATATCGCATTATCAGGCTGCAGCTACAACAGCCTCCAAATAGCTTCAGTTGCTGTTTTGACAGTGAACAATTGCTAACAGAATAGAAGAAAGCTGTGCTAAATAAATATTCTGCACATGGAAAGGTACCTAGGCTAAGAAAGAAGTTCCAGAGATGTCCCAGGTATCCTCTTCCCTGATGTACCAGTTCAGGGCTGGCACACAGGATGGTGTGACTCGGATGAGGCCATGGCACCAGGTGACACGACACTGTGAGATCTGCTTCCCCCCCCATTGCAAACCCATCACCTCTCCCAGACCCTCGGACTAGTCACCACAGAGTGTGTAGAAACCCATGAGAGAGCCCTAATGCAGGCAGCCAGCCACACCACAGGTACTGATTAATTTTATATCCCCTAGACAACTTTAATCACAATGCCAATAAAGGGAATCACCATCATCTGCCCTGTCACTTTGATTTCAAACTACGCAAGAACAATAATCCAAAAACAAGCCCAGGGACAGTCATTGGCTCAAACCAACGCACCATAACACCAGCTCTGGTGTTCCACTCCCTCTTTCACCTCATGCTGAGGTGCTGAGCACCACCGACCTCGACTGAACCAAGTCATCATTGCTGGCTCTGTCCGTAAGCCCTCTGTCAGTCCTCTTCCTGTCATCAGCTCTATGTGCTTGGCTGCTTCTGCCTCCTAGGAATGCCCCAAGAGTATCATTGGTGGAGGGCCAGAGATGGCAGTCCTGTCGCCAAACCTGGGGAGAAAGCTGATGTTTGCTTTTCAGGGCTATTATTTAAGTCTACTCAGCTTTGTCAAGTCTCACACACGAAGCATGAAATTCAAACAATTAGTTCTCGCCTTGTGCTGCCCAGGAGCCAAATTATTCTTCCATGGCTCTCTGCCACTCGGTGACCTGCCAACAGGTCACTTTTAATCACCAGACAAAGGAGAGGCCATCACATTGAATCACACTGCAAGCAGAGTGCATGGCTCCTAACAGGACCTCACGCAGACAGGGACCCTCCTGGGGTGCCCCAGCCGTTGCCTATGATTGCCTCCTGAGAATTACACAAAATAATGCTCGCTCTCATAGTTGATAGCTGTGGTAGTGTTAAATACAAAGTCCAGGAATGGGAAGTGCATAGATTATATCAGCTTCACATATTCTGTTTAGAGGAACTGAAGGAATTTAACCTGCTTACAATCATTTTTGCTATTATAACTAATCTCTACTGAAGTCTCCACAAGCCCATGTCTCATCAACATTTTTTAATAATCATGATGTTTTCCATGTTTCTAAGCATTACCAGAAGGCACCAGAACCAAATACTGCATCATCTACCTCAACTGCTTTTCTGGGATATACGGCAACATAGGGGCCAATGAACTAGGAGGGTTTCTAGCCACTTTGAAGGAAAAGTAGAAATGCTTTGAACCTGATTTTACAGAGATTAAATATTAACAACCTAATACTCACTACGCTTCTGTTTAAGGAAACCTAAGAGCTTCATCTATAATTGATGTCTTCTGTAGTGACTCAAAGTGCACATAGGCAAAACAGAAAAAAACCAAGCTAGGATAGTCATTCTTGCTCAGACATGATTATGCTACTGCAAAGTCTCAGAAGGTGACTCAAAGTTGTCTCATGTGGGAAATAAAGGCCATTTCTGCAGAACTCCTCTGATGCCAGTGGGGTGTCACATGGGGATGGTTTATCACCTACACAGAACATTTTGTACCACTGGGGCTTTGTATTTCTCAGCAGACCACACTTTGGGGCTACTTTTAGAAAAACATTCGGACTGCATTATACTATTGTACTGTCTCCTTGCTATATATTTATACTGGAAACTATGCAACTTCTGCTGCGATTTTTTGTATCTCGGCAGCCAACCTGTGCTAAGCATTTTACAAACAACTATGAAGAGCTAGTTCCCTGCCCAAATAAAATGTTTACAGCAGGGTTTGCTTGAACTTCCAGCAGCATACCAGGATGAACAAGCCGGTATCTCAGAGTCTCTTGTGGAGCCTTTCACTCCTCCCTCTTCTTTGGACAGAGGAAGCTCAGAACAGATGAATCCAGGGAGCAGAAGGAACAAAAAAGTTTGATATGTTGTTGAGTCAACAAGATTTTCTGTGTACTTGCTCCATCCTTCCCTGCAACCCATGCTGTACATATAGAATTGGATGCTGGATGAGGCAGGGAAAGAGGGAAGAGGTGAAAGAAAATCCAGAGGTTACCTATCACCTCCTCATAATGTCTTCTAAGAATATAGCACAGTCTTCCTAGACATTCAACAGTGTTCTTATTAACTTTTCCTGAAACAAAGTCAAAAAAGTCCTCAGACAGGGAAAAGCTCTCTTCTAGCAAACGGCTGGTTTTAAGAAAATATGAACAGCATATGGCACAGAAATATATAGTGTCACTGGGTGTGGATGGGGAGTTTTCTCTCTCCACCATCTCTACACAACTGGGTGAGTCAGCAATTTTAAATCAGTGCCTAAAATGCCCGGCTGTTTTAGTATCCATAGGTGGAGCTGTATGGTAGAGGAGGATATTCAGTAGGAAAGATCCTCCCTCCAGTGAGCATGGAGCCCCCTGTTCTGAACCCCTTCCTAATGAAGTCCATCTCGCTCTGCTGATCACATGGATTTGCTGAAGCTCTTGCTGCAGCTGAAGCTACCCTTACTGAATACCCCAAAACTCTTGGACATTGCCTTCAAAAGATTCTCAATTGCCTGACTGAAAGTGCATGTTGTGATTTACGCAGCATGATCATTAATTTCTTCCACTGAGCTGTACTACCATCTTTCAGGAGCTTTTAAAATGAAGAAAAAGATGAGCAAGAGGAACAATATTTTTTGTGGTAGCATGCACTTTCTGCTTAATCAGTAGTCTCGTGAATAGTTAGATGTATGTAAAGTCTGCAGGTTGGCTAAAGATTAAGGTCCTTAAAATGCCTACCCAGTAGGTTTCTAACTGAGCTGCCTACTGAGAAAAGCCTGGGCACTCATAACTTAACCCAAGAGAGTCACTTTGTTGGGGAAGAAGTAACTGCTTCTGAAACTCCTATGTTGCATCTTTTACATCCAGCTGGAGGAACAAATCTTCATCATTCCAGAGGAAAAAAGATAAATTTCTCGCACTCATTTTGGTCTTGTTCCTGGTGCTAATTAAGTACATCAAGGAAGAGGTACGGTATTTGAAATTTGTATACAGATACTTTAATCAAAATGGTATTTTTGTATTTGAATTCAAACTCAGGTTCAGATTAACCTGAGTGGCAGCAAAGCAGGTCGCCTCTCCATATCTCAACTCCATACAAAGCTCCTTTCATCCAGGCTTAACAACATGGAGATAAAACAGAGTGATATGAAAGAAAAAAGAAGGACCAACATCATATATAGCCTGATTTTAAAAAGCACAAGACCATCACATTCCAGAAAAGCACTGTAAATTAGTGTACGTGCAGACAGTGTTGCATGAACACATCTATAGGAAATATAAGCAGTGCCAATAGTTGTTTTCCCTCAATCCCACCAAACCCCAAAATATTTCCACTCTTGTTAATCCTGCACAACTGTGACTTTCCCCTGCACGTAGTTTGAAAGACATTTTTTGGTTCAGCATATTTTTGGCTTGGGGATAAAGGGTAATGACCCAGATTTGCTCTCTCTCTTATGAAAATCACACAATTTGCCTTCAGGACCAGTTTTTCTGCCACTAATTAACAATGCTGCAAAAAGCCCAATAACCCCAGTTTTTCTGATTTAGAGAATAGTATGAACCAGATACTCACCAAATATACCAAAAAAGGCCAGCTCACTAAGTAATTCTGTACTCGTCTTGCTGTGTGTTCTTGGGGAACATTTGGAGTGAATGTCACTAACAAGTATGTCCCTGTTATTGTCAGTGTTCCTCCTTTAAAGAAAAGGACACCTTATTTTGGTAATACAATATTTAGTAAACATGGTCAACCTTGCTCTCCAGTTGAGCTGTAAATAGTCTCTAGAAGAAAATATAAGTCCATTTAATCAGATCTGGTCTTAGGTAATTGGGTTGCCTTCCATCTGTAGTTTTATCTAGTGTAATTTTTATTAAAGACTCAAAGGATGTTGGAAATATCAAAAAAGCTGTCAGTAAAACCTCATTAATTAGGGTTCCAACTCAGCAATGCATTTTCAAATATTCTCAATTCTAATACCAAGCCCATGACAAAGGAGAATCAGTCCTTTGTATTTCTCAGAGGCACAAAGCAGGTCACATAAGCTTATCCCAAACTGAAAGGACAAGATGCTTATTGAGGCAGACAGCTAGATCATTAACAAGTGTAAATAAACATAACTCTCCCAAAGTCAGTATGGCCACAGAGATCTGCACCAGCTATGGACCTGCCCTGGAAACATTAGGCTCAACACATATATTCCAGTCCAATGCTTACGTGAAGCTGTCATGAAGCCAACACTTTAGCCGCTCCCTGTTGTATTTGCAGACCTATGAACTGTTTTATAAAAGGTTGATTTGCAAAAGACTGTTCAGCCATTAAGTGGCCAGGGCCCCTTTTCAAGGTTGAACTTGCATTATTGTGCTTTTAATAAAAATCTGGAAGTTCTGCCTTGTGGACAGCCAGCTGACAAACACAGATGTTCATTGAGGTATCGAGATAGAAGTGAGCCGGTCCTGAGCTCATAAACTGTATTGGATTAAAGAAGATATTAGCTAATCAATTTTTTTTCAAGTAATCTTTAAAATTCTTGGCAAACCTATAAATCAGTGTGGAATACAAGGCTCAGGAATACAAAACAAAGCATATCCGGAGGGCTTTGCTGGCACTGCTATCACACACAGTTCCTTTGGAAAAGCAGAACTGTTCTATATTTATGTGCTTGCAAAAACATCACCATATTTCCCATCATACAGCTCATTCCTATGGAATGTAGCAACATTGTTAAATCCTTCTTGCAAAGTCGAACTCACAGAAATAAAATAAATCAGTGCTGAACACTAGTTAAAGAAACACACAATGTATAAGACCATAAGGGAAACATGATCAGTCAAGGGAGGGGGGATTTTGAATGTAGCAGCTGAGCTGACAAACTTGGATCCCAAACCTAAATAAATATTATATAGTATTTCTGGAAAAACACTGAACAAATCACTCCAAAAGATCCATGAGAACAGCTGGGATGTCCTCATTATAATATGGACTGTCAAGCCTAGATACTAGGAACCCCATAGAAATATCAAGTGCCCTGTAGCAATATCAGGTGCACTGTCCCAGTCAAGACAGCTTGATGTAAAGCCCAAACCCTGAAATATGCTTGTCTCTCTATTACTGAATTCAAGCTGAGCAGTTTTGATATGCAAAAAAAATCTTGGACACAGACAAAAAGTTGACATGCTTTTAAAGTGAAGACCATGTTTGCCAACAAAACACTTGACAACATGATTATTTGTGCTTTGAAGTGATAAAATTAATACCAAAAGGGAAGTTGTCACTTTTAATTGAGCTTGAATCTTTGTGTGATGTCTATGCAGTAAGAAAAAAAAATCTTATATTTGAATGAATAACTCAATAACTTTGTTGGTTTTATTAAAATTGTGTTGTACTCATAAAGATAATACTAAATATAACCTCAGAGGCAAAAACAGACAATGAAAATAAATCTGAGCAATAAGGACACATAAGGAATGAGTTATGGTTATAAGAGCAGAGGATTTGGGAATGCAGTCTTTTCCACATGCATTGAAGATTCTCTCTCTTTTTGTCACTTCTTCCCAATTTTGAAAGTATCTGCCTTGAAACACTTGCTTGGGGAAGTGGGAGTGTGAAGGTGGGGGGCTGCGTGAGAGTTACAGCTTGCTAAGCATATGGCGACACAAATGTCCATATTAGCAAATGCTTACTTACCCAATATATCAGCAGCCCTCATGGTCTTCTTTAAGAATAAGACAGAAATAAATGCACTACCTAGAACAGAAATATAAAGACATTTTTTTATATTCGTTAGAATATCAAGTGCTATAGCAAAAAGCTGCCCTGGGCCAAGTTTAAATATATCTCATGGCTGTTGTTGCACCATATGATGATATAACCAGCCAGGAGTCCATTCCGGCAACCAACCAACCCTCGGTTTTTGTAAGATTTTAAACATATCCAGCAGGCTCTTACATGGCTGAAGAGATGCAATACCCTTCCCATCTCCCACGCAGACACTGCTTAAACTGCTCTGATTCAGTCATGTGTAGAAGTGTCAGGAAAGCTGGGCACCGATCAGCCTTAGCGTTTCACTCCCCATTTGGCTACTAACTCACTATATGGACATGTTCAAGGCAAATTGCCTCATAGAGGGATAAAATTCCACTTCTTTAGACTTCAATGTATTAGGTGCTTTTAAGTAAAGTAGCAGCAGTACAATCACAAAGAAGAAAGCCATTGCAAAACCATGGTATATAGTATGAACTAAGAGGGTGGTCATGATGCCTGCAAACAAGCAGGTGGAAGAACCAACACATGCACCATGCAGGAGCACTGCTTATGGTCTCCTAGAAGGACTTGTGATGAGGAAGCAGAAAAATGGAAGTGAGCTCTGGAAATGACCTCCTGTGTCCACAACACACAGGCAACTCTTTCCCTTGTTCAGCTCTCACATCTCCCCGCTGCCAGCTCCTAGTCCTGCCTCTTCGGGGTGAGAAACAGTGGGTGGGTGAGCAGCAGTAGTGGTCAGGCTGGGATTTCTGGTAAGCAGCAAAATGTGGACATGTGCTAGAAAGGGAAAAAGGGGTTTGGACTTGAGATGGATGACACTGTTGGCCACGTGGGAGACATGGCTCTATTCCAGCCCATAACATTAGAGCTTCTACCTCTAAGGAGAAGCAAAAGAGGCTGAATAGTTCCTATGTAAAAGAGATGAGGAAAGACCTTTGGGTGGTGCATTGATAATGTTAGATTCGTGCAGAAACCTCAAAGAAAGACTCTGCCCAGGAGGAACAGTGAAGGGACACATTGAACCTGAATCATGGGATGCTGTTACAAGAGCTCTGTTCCTGCCTATAGCATGAAATTCTTGTTTTATTCTTGAAACAACAATTCAACCTTTTTGCAACCATCTTTGTCTCAGTATCTCTATTGTTCTGATGGAAAATTTAATTTGTGGTTAGATAGTAGATGTAGTCTAGATAAATCTAGAGAGGTTCATACCAAGAGGTAAAAAGAGAACTGAAATTCAGCATCATGTCTGTATTATCCAGTCAGTAGAAAATCAGATATAGCAGAAGCCATAAATTTAAACTGTATCAAGAGTGATGGAGATCTATGAAAAAGAATAATTGCAATAAAAGAATCTTCAACTGAAAATGCCTCACTGAAAGTGAGATGCCTGACACAGTTTTCCTTATTCAATGTTTCAGTGACAACTTTGCTGGAGAAAAGACACTGGTATCCAGGCAACACTGGTAAAAGCAGAGCTACCTAGGTTTAGAAAAGAGAGAGGACAAAAACCAGGAAAGAAGTAGCATCAACCCAAGATAGTGCAGAAATTAATTACTGCTCTGTCTCCCTGCTGTCATAGCTCTGCCAAACGCCACCTCAGCCCACCCACCTAGGCAGTCACTGTCACAGCAAAAGACCTGTTGCTTAAGGAACTGATGCCTTGGTGATTTCTTTTTTTGTTTTGTTTTTTCTTTTCTTTTTTGAGTACCCCATTGTCTGGGCTCTCTGCATTTAGCGGAGATCTGGTAAATGCAATCTAGCATTCAATTCCAGTGTTGGCATCCAATTTGGGGTGAGATGAACTATGCCCCAAATTCCTCTACCTACTTCTCTGGAGATGACAAAATGGCATCTTAGGGGGATCACAATCTCTGAGGCTGACAGTGGGCACAGGGAGGCACTGGAATGTAGCCAGATAATGAAACTTGTCACTCAGCCTGTCATCCATTTTAATAATGCATTCAAATGCAGCAAGCTCTTTCTCCAGAGATAGCTAATAATGCACAAGAGATCAAGAGCTTAACAAAATGTATGTATAATTAGTAATCTATATGATGCGTAATATGTAGAGGAATCTAAAAATAGAAGAGGCTTTGAGAACATATATTAAGCCATCTGGGATTGGAGGAAAAACTGAAGCAGGAGGGGAGGTGCAACACCAAGATAAGGAGAGCGAGACCCAGGAGAGACTCTGAACACAAAAGACAGCTGTCCCTGTGAATAAGCCACCAACATTTTATATGCATTCAAGTGAAGAAGAAAAGCAAATGGGCTAAACCTAAGTGAAGAAGCAGAGAACAGTTACACAGACCTGATGAGGTGATAGAGGACATACATGACTGACCAGAAGTCTGGCAAAGTCTGGCTAGTACCTTCAGGGCTGAATTTTAAGCAAGTTACGGTAGCACAGCCAAAAGAGCACCTTGCTATTAGTCACTGACTAACAAAATATTTTAATTTTATTTTTATTTTGTTAATTTTATGGGTTTTAAGCTCTATAAATTTGGCTTTTAAATAGTCTTTTATGTTCTTCAATTTGCAGTGTGTGTTTGAACCAGGTTAAATCAAAGAAATGAAGACCAGATCATATTGATGCAGACAGTGGCTCACTAGGAATGACGGGCCAGAGGAGGGGGTGTATGAAAGGAGCCTGTGAGCCCTAGGAGAACAGGCTGACATATTCTCATTTTGACTTCTGCTGGCTTTGCAGCTTTCCCTGGCCAGAAAGACAAATGGCAGGCACAGAAGTGTACCTCAGGAGCCCAGTGAGAAACGCACAGCCCTCACAGCTGCTCTGCCCCTCTTCCTTAACTCCTTTGGGCTCCAGCTCACAATCTCAGCTGCATTTAGCTGCTTAAGACATTAACTCCTCCAGAAAAGGCAGTTTAAGACAACATGCCAGATGGCCAACATATCCCTCCACACCATCTCCTCTCTGCCTAGTGGCCTCTAAGCTGACCCTACTGTGAGCAGAAGGTTGAGTTAGGGAATTCTTGAGGTCCCTTCCAACCTAAGTTATCCTAGGAGCTTGTAAACCTTTGGCAGAAGAGTAAATGAGTATCCAGATGCCACAGCTAAGCCTACCAGATAAATGAGTTAAATCCTTTACTGTGTCCCAAATTCAGCTCTTAAATGCAGCCCTGATGAAACTCCTGTGCTCCGCTCCCAAACTCCCCACTCCTTTCCCACCCTCCCTCAGACCACAGGCAAGGTGACTCTCAGCTTCCCACTGCTCCTCCTCACTACCAGTGATGTTACACCCTCACACTTTCCTCCTAGCCCGCTTCCCCTTCACCATGATTTTGCCCCATCGCTGCAGCATGAGTCTAACTTCCCATCTCCCATCCCCAATTTTCTTTTTCCCACACCAGGGTCCTCTTGTTCCCCCTCTGTCACAGAAGGTATGTGCCTTCTCCTCCTACACAATTAAACTGATGTGGAAAATAAATCGCTGAACATTATGTTCAACTCTGCAGATGAATAGACTGAGGAACTTGAGCAATTGCTGTGCTGAAAAGTATTAATGTGTCTTTGCAACTGTTTGCCTATTTAAAAAAAAAAAAGCTATAGACAATTCTAGAGATCTGCGTCAGAGTGAAAAATAGTCTCTCTCTTTTTTTTTAATTTTTTAATTGGTCAGCAATAGAATACAACAATACAGAAATACAGACAAAAAGTATGTGTCGAAGTATAAGCTGGCCACAGCTTGGCAACAAAACAAGCAATTTATCACTGTTCTGAGGCCTCTTTGGTTTTGAACCACTGGTTTTAGCAGTACAACACACGCACAACTCTAAGGCTGAATTGTCAGCCTGTAAGTCATTGAAGCAGAGACTGCATCCCTGGTTGTCTGAGAAGACTTGTATACTTTTGAGTGAACTGGAACATTTTTAGCCTTTTAACTAATTATTAAGGTAAAACTTCCAAAACAAGGCACAGGTCCTACTTCCACTGAGTGGTGACAGATAGCCTGCCAGACCAAGAGAAGGGCAGAAAATCTGGGAGATGATCTGTTAAAGATTAAACATTACAGAACCAACATATCCTAAAGAAATCATTGAGTGCATTTCATGCCTTGACTGCATCATGCTTATATTAATATTCAAAAATTTACAAGAAGTAAGTAGGTCCTGTAAAATATCTCCATCTATTTGACAAAGCCTTTCTGAAGTCTCCTGAAACTCTTCAATCTGGAAATACAGAGTTAGTATTTCAAATGAAAAATATTATGACTTAGCACTACATCACCATGATAAATAAAAACTATTGGGTAGAAAATGGGAAAAAAAGAGTTTGTTCAGAAGTTTGATTGCTATGTTGAAAAAATTTAATCTTCTCATATATCAGCATAAAACAGGCTGGTTTGTGTTAATTATTGAATTAATATATATTCACTATATATTGAAGGAATATATATTCACATTAATGAATGAACATATATTCACTGCAGCATATGAATTTCAATTTAAATTGAAAAAATGGTAAACATGTCCATTTTCTATATGATATGAAATTAAGTGCCTTAAGGGAGGGCTGTAATGGTGCTACGCATAGCTTAGTCAGCTGCTCATTCTCTTAGGAGAGTGATCACTGATGATTATCTCCATATGTAAGTTTTCTCCAACACAAATAGAAATAAAGAGTAGTATGATATGTGGGTTCTGCCACTAGCAGACACTGAATGGTGAGAACCCAGCTCACAAGATAACTTCTCTGCCTTCTAGACATGAAAGCTGCAGTTAGGATTGTTTCTTGTTTGTTTCTTTAAGAAAGCAGTAACACAGAACAGGAGAAATTAAAGATGGAAAATACCTACTCATCAGTGGAGTATATTTTCTGTATTTTGTCCAATCCAGCCTTAAAAAACTGATGTCCATCACTTATTTTTTCTACCCAAAACTGTTTCTCAAATAAGTATATTTCATTATTAAGTTGTTTTCCTGGTATTGAATGTATTTGTGAATCTCATATTTTTACCTCTGTTGTCAGGCCTTACACTAAAAATTCCTTTCATAGCTTTTCATAACTTCAAATATAAGCATATCGTTCCTTTTCCTCTTTTCAATTCTTAGATGAGCTTTATGTACTATTTTAAATAGATTAGTACTCTCCTCATAAATGCATAGATTGCTTCTACTGCTTCTGTCTTGTCCAATAGTTTTCCAATAAAAACACAAAAATTAATGTTTGCCTCATATGTTCATTTATGAAGCTTAACTGATTCAGTCAGGTAAAGACATTTAAAACCACCCATTTTGCAGAATACTTTTGAATCCATTTCACTGGGGGTCTGGATGAAATACCAAAGGACAAGTACTAGACATGATTCAAATGTTTTCACCTCTTCCAGTTTGTGCAACAATAAAAAACATTTCACTTTGAGATTAAGTATTTACACTGTTTTATGGTACTTAAGGGTCTGCCTCCGTCTAATGAAGCAGTTCAAGCTCACCCAGTTAATTTTGGACTAAATCTGTTGAGTCGTGCTCAAGTTGTGAGGATGCAGTTGCTGCCAGTCACACTTTAAGCACCATCTCCACGGCGGAGTCTGCATGTAGACAACCGATGCCTGGGAATCTCTCCGCCCTGAGACTATTAGCTTAAAACCTCTTTCATCTTACCCTGCCTTCGTCTCAGATATACTGTCTTGCTCAATGGGAGGGCAGGAGCTCGAGGAAAACTAGTCCGTTGACCAGTGTGTCATTTTGGAGTATATAGGGGATGGGATCTAGGTATGAGGAAGATGGATGCATTTAGACCTGATGGGATCTGGGTCTCCTTCAGGGCCAGATCTCTGTGTCAGGGAGGATTAACACAAATTTGGAGAAACTTAAAGAATGCATAGCCATAGTTAAACAGAAAGCTAGCTCTGCCCAAGCCATCTGGGAACAAATTCATCACAGCTAATTGACTACTCAAACCTATTTTTAGTTTATGTGATAGATATTAATGATATACTGAATAGAAAGGAAGGTATTACAGAATTTATTCTGTTGGTGCATGACCTCTTGATAGCTATCCTGCACAGTGAACATATAACATTTCTAACATGATTAAATATTAGTACTGGAAAAGTCGTGGACAAAACATGAAACATTTTCCCCCCATCCTTATTGCCAATATGCTAATAAAAATGCAAGCCAAATATCAGAGGAATTACTCAAAAGAGAGACCATTAGGGTAATCTTAATTCTGGAAACTGGTTTACAGGACATACACCCTGCAGAGAGAAGGAAGAAACCTGAAAATCCTTTTGTTGAGTCTTCTATACAAATACATATAAAGTATTTTAAAGAATAGTCTGGTGAACACTTCCCAGTACTCATTAGCAAGAGTTCTCAAATCCCATGTTCTTGGGCCACTGTTACATTACCATGAGTGGGAGAAATCCATTTCTATGAGAATATCTGAGAGTCTTTTTCCTAAAGCACCATCAGGGATATTGATTTTCAAAGCCTAAAGCAATTTTTTGCCCCACAGCTATTTAGCAGGAGCATATCAAAATGCAAAGGGATCTCAACAATGTCAGTCTAAGTGAGTTAAGTGTAAAACAATTCTCTACAGAATGATGAAAACTGCAGAAGAAATGATCTCTGATACCACTTGCCTCTCCTCATCCCACCCCCAAGTTATTTCTACAGGCAAAAGCAAGACAATGAACTAAAAACAACAGCAGCCTAAAATTACCCGAGCTACATGTAAACCATGATTTTTAACTTTTAAGTATAAAAAGCTTTTTAATGATCACATCAAACATGTATTACTCCTCCACTTTTAAATTAAAAATTTACTAATTTCTCCTGTTGAATAAAACAACTGTTGTCTTCTCAAACTATTTAAAACCCTGAACAGATGTAGAGCTTGCATCATTGCAACCACACACAGAAATGCTTCCACTGTGTAAGAAGAAAAATAGAGTCTTTGTAGCTTAATTTTAAGGAAAAAAAAAAAAAAATCTACTGGTGTCATGCCAATTCGTGGTCTGTGGTGCTGGATTCTTTCTAAAACCAGCCACCAGAAGCACCCAGTTCAATAGAATGAAGCACAAACTTTTCACTAATTGATACTGGGTTAAGTGCGAAATTTAGTTGTATGCAGTTAAATGTGGTAGCAGAGTATAATAGATATTGGCTCCATCTATTTTAAGACCCAGGATGCTTCCTGTCTCAGAGGTCTGAAGATATGTGATGGGTACAGCCCAAATCCATTCTGGGCAGAGTCTCCAGTCTGCCTTATCCTCCTCCAAAACCCTACTTCACAAGCAAAGGAAACTTTCCATGCAGACACAGAGTGATGGAGATCCTCAGAGAATCCCTCAGATGACTGGGCATACTGCAAAGCACATTTGCCCTTAGTACACCCCAGGTACTGAATACCCAGTGTCAGTGAGAGTCAGCTCTTAACATGTGGGATGTGCTGACACCAAATTTGGAAAAAAATGCTTATCAAAAGGGTGAGATTAGGGTTCAGGTACACATTTGGAGTTTGTTATCAAGTGCTTAATTCCTTAATTTAAAAAATTAACTTATGGAAAACACATTCAACAATACCTCAAAACAACTGCCAACTAGACTGTGCAAAGTCCACCCTCCACTACCTAAAACAGGTCACAAATTAATGAGTAAAATATTTCTTGATCTTTAAAATTGGAAGACCTGATGCCTAAATTATCCTTTGCCCAGTAGTTAGCAGATGATGTATGATGTACATGTGTCTCGGTCAGTTTGTCATTCTTCTAAATGATGAACTTTTCTAAAATTAAAAGGATGCTCTCTCTCTCTCTGGCTTTAATTTCAGAAGACAGGAAAGTGTCTAGTGGTAGGAAGCGGTACTGAGAAGTTATTGTTGTAATTGGCTGTCTACATCTTTTTTACTTTCCCTTCCTTGAGGGAATGTTTGCTAGACTAAATAAAATTTCAGATATCCCTATTGTTTGGGCTATGAAATGGATACTCTCAGTTGATTTATAGGAATGGAATATAAGATATTAAAGTGCTTTCTGGGGTCTTCCAGGATAAGCATTTTGCATCAGTTAAAAAAAAAAAAAAAAAAAAGTGGATGAGAATTTTGATAAGGTATAACAGGAAAACGGTTTCTTGGTATTTGTTATAAGTAAGTGGAAATGGAGAGCGCAGGAAACAGTTGCAATATTTCTTTGCATACTGCAAAGGTAAAGAAGAGGGAACCTGTCCAGATAAAAATCAACCCTAAATGTGACCTCTTCTTTCTAGCAGTTTAATAACCAATGAATTTTTTTCATTTACCACTACTTTTCACTTCGTTCTAGTTTTTTATATTTTCATTTTATTCCATTTAGGGAATAAATTAGATTGATCAATGTCCCTTTATGTTCAGAGACATCTGGAAATGTCTACAGCTGTTAAAGATATAACTACTGCCACCAAAATCACACTGGGATATGTTGTATTAATTTACATTTTCATCTCAGGTAATATCTCATTCCTTTCTTTGAGAAATCTTTCCTACAATGGCGAATTACCATGGCTTTGTATCTCATTCTCCAAAATTCTGCAATAGTTTAACATTAAAGGTTACAGTAAATTGCCTGCAGCTTCCTTCCCCCACTATCTCTTTGCTAAATTGAACCCACATATGGTTGGCTGCCTCCTTCCACTACAGTCGGGCTGTCCACTAGGAAGATAATTCATCTTTTCTACCTTCCCGTGCAGAATCACTCGCTGCAATGTCACTTCCAAGCATGAAACTGGTAGCTAGAGACAGACCATGAAATGTTATCACTTGTCAATAGCAAGCGAATGAGCTCCAGCGTAGGCAGAGCTGTTGTTTTATCTCAGCCCTGGATGTTTCAGCTGTGGATATGAAGTGACTAGATTAAGGGATACAGCTGCACCCTGTATTCCTGTTTTCACAGCCTCTGTACAATACTGCCCTGTCCACTATGCTTTGCATTAGCACAGCATGGTAATATATTTTAAAGTGTATGTTTCTTTAGCAAAAAACAGACATCTCATACCTGTCAATACCTTAATTACAAAAAACCACATGAAGTAAAGAGTAAGACCATATCAAATGAGTCCTAAGGATAGGACTGCTGCTAAAGTCCAATTAATCTGCACATGAAGGAACAAATGAACAACTTTGATAATGTCCATAACTAAACTAAGCCTTTTAGGAAATCCCTAGGCCCCTTTTGTCGCACACTGCAGAGTCAAGCAAGTTTGCCCGTGTCAACAGGAATGACAGCAATGGGCAGGAGACAGGCAGCAGAAACCACTTGGTGTGATGGCAACAGAGAAAACACGCTGTAGGTGCTCAGGATCAGACCACAGCTCTGTGGTCAGCAGTATGCCAGCCCCCCACTTCGGGGTCTTGCAGAGCCGGCAACACTGGTGCAGCACTGGGTGACCAACTGGCAGGAACTAGCAGAGCACAGAGTGATGCAAAAGTCAAAATTTTGGAAAAAGAAAGATATTAGAAGAGTCTGTGAGTTAAGTAGAAGGTTTGTGTTAAACTGTCAGCTCATGTAATTATATGAATAATTTATTTTCAAACCACAACATTAACATTTTCCCCTCATGTTCCTGCTGCAGCTCCTGCGGTATTATTCCTCCAGTCACAAACAAGCATTTGATTAAAGTACGTACCCAAGCAAGAAGGGCAAACCATCTCACCTATGACAGATAAACATCCCAGTGGAGCGACAAGGGCAATGGGTGCAAATCCATAGGCTGTGAAATTGCCCACCTCTCCAAGCCCCAGGAGGGTAATCCCACACCACCATAGCTTGCTCATGTAGTAGGGCTTCGGCTCTGTCTGGCAAGCCAGCCGGAGATGAGCGCATTTCTAGAAAATTAATTATAAAGAACAGGCATGAAAAGAAAGACTTCCATTGTGTTCTTAGGTCTGACAAAAGTAGAATAATTAAGGGGGCTGTCAACTTCAAATTCCAGGTGCGTCAAGGTTTTCTTTTTAAACTTGACTTTCAGGATGTTGTTGCAGACACACTGCTCTGTGTTAACTCAGTGCTGCTTCAGATGTGTGCTTTCTTAGCTGTGGTGGAGATGACTGAAAAATTAGACCTCTGAAGAAGCCTGAAAAATATTAAGTGAATACTAGCTAGTACTTCCTAGCTATCACTGCATACCTCTGTTCTCTCAAAGCAAAGCTCAACAGCTGTGCTGTGAACCTGGAAACACTCAAAGGCAGGAGATGGGACAGAAAGAACTGTGACAACAAGGTACAAGAAAGGGACCAGACAATATGGTGTCCCTGCTCCATGATACGCATCCTTGCCAGAAATACAATTTCAAAATGGAAAAGGCAGCACTCAGTCACATTTGCTGTAGTGAGGAGACTAAATTAATCAGGTAGAATTTAGGATTTGGCTACAGTCTCCTGTTTGACCTTAAAAGAAGACCTCAGGTAAAGTATTTTCAGAAGGAAAACCAGCTATACCTGCACAAACAGGTATATTATATACTCAGGTAATGCTTTATCAACACTTCTTGTTACTTGGAGGAGGTATCATTGACAAGTTGTAATTGTTTTCTCTCTGACTGTACAGCAAGAACCTGTATATAACCAGATATATAACAGAGTCCATGCAGTCTCCATCAGGAAGGTGTCATGATTGGGAAAGATGCAGTGTTCGTTCTGCAGAATAACATTCCCTTTCTCAGATTCCTCACTGGCCTGTCTGCACATGGGTCAAAAAAGTTGGAAACCAAATGATACGGTTATTGTAGTATAAATGGTGGTAAAATACATTTTTTTCTCCATCATTTGATATTTGATTTTGGAAGTGCCCAGGCAGAGCCCCAGGGAAGTTGTAAACAATTTTCCTCGTACTTCCGTTCAACTCTGTAGGTTACGCTACAGAGGATGCAGCACAGTAGTGCAGCTTCATGCTGTGGAACATGCTCAGAGAATGAAATCCTAGGAAGAAATTTAGCCCTCCAATGAGAAAAGGAGCATAAGGAAATCAAACTTCCCGGAGACACAGGTCAGCAAAACACAGTAACATCCAAGGTTTTGCATGTTCCATTTTTATAAACAAACAAACAAAAGCCCAATAAAGATCCAATTGAAAAAAATATTAAATAAAATTCAAATAAATAATCCAACTTTTTGTTGAAAAACAAATAGAACAAGTTCTTAACTGAATCCCGAGCTCTGGTTTCTCCCCAGATACTTGTAGAAATAACTCTTGAGGGCAAAATGTGATTGAAAAGATCTGCAAGGGTGGGTGGGTGATGGTGAGCTCAGCAGTTCCCCTACAGCCTTCTTTCTCCAGATGCCTGCCTTCTTTGCATAGTAATGTGTGTGGATGGTAATTTAGGTGGAGGCTGTTTATAATCCAGCTGAAATATATTGCAAATGGTGGGCTGTTCTTTAACTGACAACCAGTTAGAGGGAAGAGAAGAAGGATAACTGACTACATGGTGGGAAAAGGAGAAAGAACAATAAAATTTGGCCTGTCCATTTAATATGAGTGTGAAAATAAACACTGAGATCTAGGGAAAGTCATTATTCATATTTATAAGATATCGTTACCAAATTGAGAAAAAAATATTTTAAAGGATAAATACAATTTTTGGTTGAAACTGTCTGTCAAATGTCAATGCAGAGCTACTGGGTTTTGTTAAACAGCTTTTAAAAACCTGAAAGCTAGTTCAAATCCAGTAAATGCTTTTAATGGTAACAAGTCAATTGAAGTCTGTCTACATGCCTCAGTACATCCGCTGGCAAAGCACCCACTTTGGCACTCAGTGCCCTCAGCAGACAAAAGATATGATGTCTGAACAACCTCATTATTATGGGCTAGACTGAATTTCCACTTCACCAACAAGAATTTTTCCACTGAAACAGAGCCTGTATTAGTATGTCATCGGCAGCAAGCTGGAACTCATATTGGAGAGGCAGCAGTCATCTGACCCTGCCTGCCATCTATGGCTAAACAGATTTTTTTCTATGGGATTCTCCAACTAGAAATACTTAAAACAAAAGGGAATCATTTAAAAACATTCCAGCTTTAATAAAATGGGTTATTATGAATAGAATATTTCATATTCCACAGATTTCTGGTTCATTATTTACAGAAAAAACAAGCTTTACATAAGACATATACAACTCATAAAATACAAGCTATCAAAAATATTTTTTCTGGAAAACTTACACAACAACGTCTTCTGTACTTTAAAATCTTTTGCTAGAAGACCTAAAAATACCAAGAACTCTACAAGATACAGATTATAATGAATTATTTAACTTTCTCCTGAGTATGTATTCTAATTATTAATACAGAAAGGATTTCATAAATCTCATCCTACAACCCTTTGCCCTAGTTGCAAGGTCAGCACCTCCCATTGCTTTTACAATTTAAAATAATATTTACTCAGATTATTCTATCTTAATTGCAGAGGAAAACTAAATTGGTCAAAGTTGTCTTGTGGCCCAATATTGCAAAAAGCTTTATGTCTCTGTGCATTTAATTATATTAATCACGTCATTAAGAAGCACCAAAGACCCTGTGGTCTATTCCATTGTAAATCTGGACGCTGAGATAGGTTCATGTGATGTCCAGTGGAACCTCAAGCAAGTCACAGCTAGTGTTCCCTTATGGGACATTACAAGGAAGAGGAGGAGTTACGAATTTTTATTCTGTTCCCATATGAGAATCAGAGCACAGAACAGGTTGAGAGCTGTCATACTGTCAACAAATACAGCAGGGCACTATTAAACTACAGTTAAAGAGAGGGAATGATTATTAAATGCAACAAAATTTGTATTTTGAACTATACCATAAAACCAAATTGTAACATAAGTTACTTGCTAAATATAAACAACTCTGAATAAAGAGAAATAATTTCATACCTGTATAATCAAAGAAACACTAATCAGAAAATTTGAAGCAGCAGCCAGTAAAACTCCCAAGAGCTGAGTCTGCAAGATCACAAAACAAAGCAAAACAAAAATATTTCTTATTAGTTTAAGAAGAACAGTATAATGGTGGTTTTCTGATAACACATTGTAACTCAATCAAAACCATATTATTGCACTTTTCAGTCATTGAGTTCATGCTGCATTAAGTAAACTGATAAAAAAGATCTCTGTACAGTTGACTAGGTCTTATGTGGTAAACAGCTGGGAATGGAAAAGGCATCCCAGTGCAGGAGGTGGTTTTGCTGTCCTTCAGTAGAACACCTTCTTAAATCTCACAAAAGAATAATCTAGACAGGTCGCAGCTGAACACTACACACAGGTATTCTACTTTACTAAAAAAGAGACCTGTTTTGTTACATAATCCAGAAGGAAAATCAACAGCAATCAAACTGTTCCTATTGGAACACAATCGTGTAACGTGTTAACATATCCACTGTTTGACAGGGCAGCCAGGAACACAGTCCTGACAGTATCTTTAATGTATTGTGTTATTTCATCAAATTCTTTCCTAATCAGCCTGTTTAATTTTCAGTAAGATTTGTAAACTTTCTATGAAGTTGAGAAATTAAGAACATACAAGCAGGGTTCGTTATTTTGGAAAGCAGCCATTTAAAGATGCCATTTCAGCAAGCTCAAATAACAGGCACATGGTAGAGCTCCCTGTCTACTTTCAAAATGTTGTAACACTTTGTACGTTGTTGTAAGTGTATTCAAGATCCACTCAAGGTCACCGATATAGTGCTGTGAGGAGCCCCACTATCTTGTAGAGAAGACAAACATACTATCAGTGAGTTTTTATAAACAAGGCCATGGTAACATAACCCAACATAACTATTGCTTACAACCTGTAAAGCAGCATCCAGCTCAGTGTTCACAGCCTCAGCTTTCATGACTCTTCTCCAAGAAGGTCCCTGGGCACCTATGAACAGGCAGTGCCTACCAGCCACAGAGACCGCTGCTCCTCAGCATTTATAAAGAGCAATAAGTGATCAAGCAAGCCCCGTGAGGGGGAAATTATTGTTGTGGCTAGATAATTCCCAGACTAAGAAAGAGCATTCCCGAAAGTGTGAAGAAACAACAACCTTATTACAAATGGATGATAATATTATTTAAGAGACAGCTGAATCTAACTGTCTCCAGCCCACCATGCACTTTTGTAGTGGCTTAGACTCAGAAGGAGAAGCAAACAGAATTGCTTTGGGTGAAATGCTTTGCCAACTGCTGGGTGTCAGCAAGGTGTGACTGATGAGTACAAGGGGATGCAGAGAAGGGAATGTAGGAGGTGAGAGGTCTCCCTTTGCTCACACACCCTCTGTGCTAAGTGTTACAGCACCAGTGCCAGAGTCTATGTACAAGAAGTGTTCAGTGAGAAGCATTACTCAAATTTTTGCCCATACCCTTTTGGTACCTGGCCACTGGAGGTCCTTCCCATCTTACATCCTCTCCCTGCACTCCAGTATTGTCCAGTGTATGCTCTAGCAGTACATTCTGGGTTCTCACACATGGTGCATTTTTCATGCTCTGGGAACACCCCTCACTGGGAGCAATGGGGAGTGTGTGACAAGATGTCTCAGCACACCTCGGCACAGATGTCTGCTGAGATCAGGCACTGTTAGAGGGACACAAGCAGCCTTGCAGCCTCCTTCCACACTGGGGAAATGTTGTCATACTGTCCCCACCCATGGCCTCGCAGGAGAAGAGGGGATGGGTTTTCCTTCCTGAGGCTTTGATGCTGTAGCATCAAATCCTGAGCACTGGTCTTGCACAAAGTTTGACCACTTCACAGATGGATTATTGCACTCTCTTCATCATCCTGCACACACAGAGGCTTCAATAAAACAGCAGTTCAATCAAAATTGTTTTATTGCTCCCAAAAACTTGTTCTTTTTAAATGACAACATACTCCCTTGTGAGGGGGTGGAGAAGTGGCTTTGTGAGCTTCATCACGAAGGGTTTAAGAAAAAGGAGACAGCAGGGAATAGCAAACAGAAATTGCCACCTCATTTACCCTGTCATTTTATTGCTTTCACATCAGTAATTGTAATATATCCACACTACTTTCAGCAGAGAAACCAGTCTCTCTGAGGCACATTTTGTCTCTACAGCCAATCCTACTCTTATGGCTGCATCTCTGGATAACCTCTTGCAGCTCCTTACTCCCAGCTTTCAGCCAGGGGTGACACTGTGCAGGACTCAGGAAGCAACCAGCACCCCAGGAAGGAAATGTGGTTGGACTCGAGCCAGCCCGATGGAGGATCTGCATCCAGCTCTAGAGGTAAAACTTGCATACAGCTGGTGGGCAGAGGACGAGGCTATGTGTTCCATCTGTCATTGAAAAAGATGTGCAAAATCAGATTCACATATGGGTATTGATGATGATCAGGGTACCTGCGTCCAGAGACTGTGAATTGAATGCCCCTTTGATGGCTTTACACATTCAATGGACAGGGACTCCAGCAGGAAGTTTTCCATTGCCCTGCATCTCTGGTGTCCTCTGCAGAATAGCGAGTGCTTTCGTACCACAGTGGTTGCTTCATCAGGTACCTGTGACCTTGGCTCAGATATCCTTGTGGGATGCATAGGATTTCTAACACGATGATCACCCTATGTCTAAACAGGAACCATCTCCCAAAAGTCAATCCTCTTCCTACAGGTTCCAGAAATTGCCAGGAACAGAAAACCAGTCAAAAATCTGGGTCTTCTCATTTTCTGGGAAATACTGAGACGTGTGTGACCATTGTCTCAGTACTTCCCTGTGAAGTACTGAGTTCAGTATTACCCTCAGCTGAAGTTGGGCTGGGACATGGGCCTGCGGGTGGGCCTGGCTCAGCAGGACCCATGGCTGAGCAGAGCAGGGCTGTGGGGAGATGGAGACCGGCCCTGCTGTGGCATTGCTGGAGCAGAGGCTGATTGAGCCGGGGATCTGAAATGGAGTCTCAGGCCACGGGCAGGGCGGGAGAGCCCTGCGGGTGGGCAGGGATGGGCAGGGCGGTGGGTGCCTTCAGTGCCCTGACAAACACATGCAAAGCTGTTGAGGTGACACTCCCTTGTGCCTAACTTAAGCAATCTCATCTGTCCGCACATAAGGAAAAACAGTGCATATGTCTGATCAAGGCAAATCCATAGTGGCAGTCTGGGCTCAAAACTTACCCTCATTGCTCAGGTCATTTTATTGTAATGACCACATGTTTCACCTGAGCATTGCTGTTGGCATATATACTGCGCTGCCTGCTCCAGACCGACATGTGTTAATGAGCTCTGGTTAATATGGTGATAGCACCATACTTCCAAACCGAGGGCTGGACAGACCCCTAAAAATTAAAACCAGAGTATGATGCCCTAGGGAGGTCAAATATCACATGGATCCATTCAGGGAGATGAGATGAAAGTACAGTAACACCATGCAGCTATAGCATGGCAAAGCTGTCTGGTACAGATTCATATGCAGACATGCCAATATTAGAGAATACAATTGGGAATGAAAATTCAGTAAAGAGGAAAATCAGATTGCAAACTTTTCACAAATCAGAATGCATCTTAAATCAGCAGGTAATTTCTAATGCACAAGAGCTATCACATACAGCAGCGATCAAAGCAAGAGAGAAAAAAATAGGATATCATATCTCAGGCTAGTAAAACCATGTCTGAATGAAGGATGACCTGTGACAGAAGATAGATCACCCTATCAAACCAAAATGGTTGCTGCATTGCCCTGAAGGCTATCACAACACTTCCGTTCCCATCTTGTCATGTAAAAGGCTTCATTATTTGTGCCGTGTCTGCCATTCAACACCCTTTAGAGGCTAGAGGACTGGTGGAACGGCCAATTTTATAAGTAATAATCATGATAGTGTCTGAACACAGAGTTTCCAGTTGTGATATCATCCACAGCACTACAGGGCTTCCCACACATAAGTCTTGAGACAAACCTCTGTGAGGGAATTCAGTTGCAGACACAACTTCAGAGCCACGGTGCTACTTCAGTCAACTAAGGATTTCTACAGGAAAAAGCCTTAGATGTTCAAAACTGTTGACATAAAATTCAAGTCCCTTCATCACCAAAACATCTGTCTGAACATACAGGTCACTTTGCCAGACCCCAGATTTCAAACTGTTGATGCATTCTTCCAGTGCTACCAAATGCATGAAGCTTGTCACAGAAACATCCTGCCCTTGAGTTTTCCAGAAAATAAAAAAAGTATCATAGACATTTTTTTTACTTCACCTTAATATGGTTTGGAACAAGCCATGAAAGTCACTTGCCAGCTTTGCAGTTCTTTCTAGATAGTGCCCAAGCACACAGACTCTGTGGATCTGACGACATTTTCCTCTGTGGCAAAGCTGTCTTGAGAAATGCCTTCTTCTGGCATCCTGTTCCCTCACTGCCTCGTTTGCATTAAAACAACTATTTGTGAGGCTGGCAAGGCACTGTTCCAGGTTTGAAATAACCCTCCCAAAATATACCCCATTAGCATTGCGTTCTTTATAAGCCACCTGCCAACGTTTAACACTAAAGGCAGATCAAAATTCACAAGCTACAAGGATTTTAAAATGGTGACCCCTGCGTTGTTTGCCAGTGGTGACGGGGGCCTGTACAGACAGCTGCTGGGGGGAATGAGTTCAAGAAGTGCCAAATTCATCTTGAAGAAGGCACCCTCAGCACTCACCTGGCATCACCCACACCAGTTGCATGAGGCTCTTGCACAAGCCTGGCATTGGGAAGGGAGATTTGAACGACCGGTCAGTAGGCAACCATTTGCCAAGTGAAGTGGAAACATATTGCTATTCAAAATAAATGAGCAGCAGTATAGCATACGGCTGTGTATGGTCCTGCTTTGAGCACTCATGCAGGACCTGACACTTATTTACCCTAGCACCTTTTCACATCATTCTGGCAGTGTTTTAGAAGGGCATTTTACATGCAAGATCTCTTTTATTGTCCAAGTAAGGGGTTTATGGCAAATGAAGGCCAGGCTGAAATCGAAATCTTTGGCACTAAT